GAAATCTTGGTATTTTTGCAAACGCATATTTACAAAGCTTGGAACCTATGTTCGCCCAATAAAAAGTTAATGAAAACTGCATAAAACTATACAAAATGCTGTATATGTATATGTTAGCCATTCTGTTTCAGGTATTTATGGAGCAGTTAGTGAATGAGTGAATGACTTGTGTAACATTTCCTGGGGAATGGCTTCAATGACATTACAAATATTCCGCTTAAGATCTTTCAGGCTATTTGAGCCAAGGATTACAGCATCTTTCCTTGACATAGCTCCAGAGAAAAAAATCTGGAACTCTCAAGTCAGGAGAGTAAGGTGTCCATTCTATAGGATCAGCTCTCCTTATCCGTCTTTCCCCAAATGTCATATCTATATTGACTCCCTTGCTATCAAAGAATAATGAGGATGTGGGGGCACCATCCTACTAGAAATAGATATCATCCAAGATACCCTCCTGTCTTAACTATGGAAAAAAGAACATATCAGTGTATACAATTTCTGTTATCGCTGGTTCATTAATGGAAATGGTCTGTATTTTTTCTTAATAGAGATGGCACACCAAACTGTTACTTTTGGTGTATCTCTATTTGACGAGTTCCAGAGAAAATACTCTAGAGCTCTTAAAATTTTCTTGGAAATTGTATTTTAGCTTAATTGATATCTAACTAGACAGTTTCAAAATTCTTTGTCATAGTGATATCAAGTGCCTAAAACATGAAGTTGCATGCGTTCTAAAAATACCAAGATCTTGATTTTGATTTTTTACCTCCAAAACTTAAAGTTTTAGGGACGATGTCTATTGGTACAGGATACCTTGAATATTAATCTTTTTTTTGACGTTGTGATATACAGGGTGTTCCATTTAAAATAGTGAAGAATTTTGATCTTGGAAAACTGATTTTTTTCTCACTTGCCCTGTATAAGTTTCAAAAAAATGTGCAACCTACTAGAAAAAACTTTAGGCCAAGAGAAATCGAATGGCGCAAACCGCATGTAGCTAGCACACCTGATTTAAAAGTTATAACCATTTAAAATGGTTCACTTTCGGCTGGGACACCCTGTATATCCTGTTCACAATCCGATGTCCACAGGTGCAGGTGCAGGTAAATTTATCACCTTTCCCTATCAAATAGCATTGAAAGGTAATAAATTTTACCTGTACCTGTGGACATCGGATTGTGAACGGATAATAAATACTATGCTCAAATCAATTCTTGAGTTCTTAAGCAATGGTATTGGTTTGGGTTATTATTATCTACCAAATAGTTTTTCACTCATGCGTATTTTCATTGCAAACCAACAATAGCTATTTACAAGTGCGGAAAATGATTTTTTTCTGCACCGAGTGCGTTTCACAGGCGTTACACACTATATAGGTACTTTTTCTACGACTGCCAAATAACTATATTTACATTAAGATATAAATAATTTTTTTTTTGCTAAAAAATTATTATTTAAGGTTATAATTAACGAACAATTTTGGTACGTACGCTGACTGCAGTCAGAGTTGTTTGCAGAACAGAAATTCAGTGGAAAGTGTAATTTTTATTTAAGCGCGGAAAGAACTTTTCGCACGCTCCGGAGCGTGAAAAGTACTTTTCACACGCTGTTCGGAATAATTGATTTTCTAGGTAACTAAGTGATACGTTTTTAATAGCTTTCTAGAGCAGTCGTAGAAAAAACTAATTTTCCGCACGGATAATCGGTGCGGAAAATTGAATTTCCCGCATGGCTGCAAAAAAAAAAAATTTCTACGAGTAACTACTTTGCGCACACTTTTGCGTACGCAAAGAAACCCTTTTCCAAAAGTGTGCGCAAAGTAACTACTTTGCGCACACTATGCGGGAAATTTTTTTTCCCGCATATTTTTTTTTCTAGTACCCATAATAAAATCCGGGGGTCCCCTATTTGGGGGGTTAAGCCCTGCGAGAGTCTCATATTTGGGGGGCGGTGCCCGCGGGCCCCCCCTGGGCCCCTTTTTGGGAGGCCCAACCCCGCGGGGGCCCCCTTTTGGGAGGCCCAGCCCCGCGTCGCGGGAGCCTTATATTTGGGGGGACCAGCCTCGTGGGCCCCCTTTTTTAGGGGGCAAAGCCCCGCGGAGAGGGGGCCAAAAAATTTTGGTTTTTTGGCCGATTTAGATTAGTTAGTTATAGCAAGTTGTTGTTCTTGATGCTCATAAAAATTAAAAATTTAAAAAAGAAGTATAGTTATTTCACTCGTAGAAAAAATATTTCACTCGTAGAAAAAATATTTCACTCGTAGAAAAAATATTGTTCCTAACACGTGCGCAAAGTAGTTTTCCCGCACTTAAAGCTTATCCGAACTCCGCTTCACGTCGTTCGTCTAACTGCTTTCGCGTGCGGGAAAACATAACTTTGCGCACTGATTAGAAACTACTATTTTCTACGAGTGTGCAAAGTAACTACTTTGCGCACACTTTTGCGTATGCAAAGTAACCCTTTCCCAAAAGGGTTAAGCCTCGCAGGGGCCCCCTATTTTAGGTGGCATAGCCCCTCGAGGGGGGGATCCTAACAATTTCTTTAGCCAATTTAGATATATTTAGTTAGTTATAAGTTGATTTTTTTGATGCCAATAAAAATTAAAAACTAAAAAAGAAACGTATAGTTATTTCACTCGTAGAAAAAATATTGTTCCCAACACGTGTGCAAATTAGTTTTCCCGTACTTGAAGCTTATCCGAACTCCGCTTCGCGTCGTTCGTTTAACTGCTTTCGCGTGCGGGAAAACATAATAGACAATAGTGGAAAATTATCCCTAATTTTAAAGCTGTCGTGGTATTATCCCCGATAATTTATTTATTCATCAGAAATGCCATAATTCACAAGTTTATGGTTATTATTTATTCAAAAATTTGTGAATTGTTTGGCTCATTTTGTAGGTACAGGAATCTTGATAGGCTCATATATTTGTCAAGATCAAAACTACAAAAAAAATACTACAAGTATTTCATGTGAATGAAAAAGACAATTTTTGGTAAAATCTGAATTTCCATTTTTGGTGTAGGTTCGAAAATGTTTCTAGCTATTTCAGCATGAACATTAAATCTTCCTTCCTGTAGGATCTTAATTATTTTTTCACACGGTAAAACTATTGGCTAATAGCTGCTTTCAAATTTGGCAATCGCAAATGTTCGAACATGTGTGGTTACATTATTGAATGCACAAAGTTCATCTCAGAAAATCCAGATATTTTTGAAAAATTTGAATCAGATCACAGCCATATTACTTGATTTAAAGAAAAAGTTAAACTGCTCATTATTCGTATATATCCTAAAGAACGATAAATATAGTAGGTATTCTGAGAGTTTGGCATGCCCTTCCCCTGTCTTCTAGAAGCAACCACCACAGAGGAGAAAACAAACACTCAAAATTTTCTCGAGCTCTAAAGCCTACTATAGTTTGAAAGAATTCTTTTCTGATGATCAGGTCAAAAATTTAGAGAAATAGATAAAATCACAAAAAAATAGATAGGTATCTATTTTATTAGGAGTATAATGGCCGTTTCCACCAACCATTTTAGGGGAGCCCTAACAATAAGTATTCCCTAAAATGATATTTTTACATGGAGAAATGTCAGTTTAGGGCATACGTATCGTAAGGGCTTCCCTAAAGTAGTTGGTGAAAATGGCCATAAGTAATACTACTTAAAGTCTGTTTTTTTTTAAAGATAAAAGTCAAAATGACATTATGTTGGCAATGCAGTGTAAAATTGTCAATGCTTTCAAATTTTTTATGTAGAAAAGGCTTGTGTTGCCAACAAAGTTACTAAATTTTAGACATGGGGAATTATCTTAAAAAAAAACAGATTTTTTCTACTATCGTGCGTAAAGTACTCACTTTACGCACTATTCAGAAGATGTAAAATTTCACTTCACGCACGAGTGCGTAAAGTAATTCACTTCACACACTAGTGCGTAAAGTAATGTCAATGACAGATGTCAACACTGTCAATTTGGCATTTTTCTGGTAAATTACTTCACGCACTAGTGCGTAAAGTGAAAATTCTTCACGCACTAGTGCGTAAAGTATCTCTCCGAATTTATTTTTTTACACATATTTGATTGATAGTAGAAAAAAAATTGTATGCAATACGTGCGTAAAGCACCTTTTTTCACTCATGTGATTGTCGCACTCGCCTTCGGCTCGTGCGTCAAAATTCACATTCGTGAAAAAAGGTTCACTTTACACACTTGTTGCATAAATAACTATTATGTGACGCGCATGGAAGTTTGAACGCCGAGCGCAGCGAGGCGAATCAAATCCATGCAAGTCACATGAAAAATACTTATACACTTATACTCCGAATGAATTACAATATTTTATTTTCAAACAATCTTTATTCCGAACAGTGCAGAATTTTTAATTTAAATTATGACATTCATATTTAGAACGATCACCTTTATAAGCACCTATACCTGTATGTATAGGTACAGGTGAACCACCTTAAATCGCTATGGAAATAGTTGGGGATTTTTCTTATTGCCAAATATGTCGGTTGGTAACACTTATATACCAACCAACTGACAGGTGAATTTTATTATTAAGGAGGTTTCACAATTTTGAAGGTATACCAATAGGTACCATCGTCACCAAAAGTATCTGGGACACAAATAATGCATAATAATCTCCTGGACTAATTGTACTGTCATTCATTTCAATGCATTTAATTCATAGTTTGACAAATATTTGACAATAAAATTCATATAATAGGATAAGAGCTAATGTGATGCTGTCCCAGTTACTTTTAGTGACGATGGTACTTTGAAAATTAAATGTCACCACAAATCGTTGAAGAATGAGCTTCATTCTTCAATGATTTTGCTGCGAGAATATGACATTCTTACACGAAAATTGGGAAAATGTATTTTTGATCGAATAAAGAGTCTTACCTTATGTTTTTATCCGTCAGATTGCATACCTTACGCAGTTTATCAGAAGGTGAATAAACCGGCCCTTCATGTTTTTCAAGATACAAGTTTCCAAAAAGAAAATATAATTCGCATTTATTGATTCAATTTCAATTGACACAACACAAAAGGTATAAAATGGTAAACATTTTTTTATAGTTTTAATGACGAACTAAATTGTGAATATTTGATATTCGCATTACCCGAATTGTCTAGTTCAGTGTAAATGACTTCAGAAGTTTGCGGCTTACTATTGAAAAGCGCCCAATCTTTGATAATATCATTTCGAACGCCCATGTTTTCTCCTTCGCCTTTATGTTGATAGCCTTGTAGTCCGTCAAGCATATCAGAGATTACTGGGCCGTTTTTTGCAGGAATGTTAATTACCTGCGCTGCGCTACGCATTTTCTCAAAAATTGCATATTTTCTGTCATCTTGAGGTCGCAATGCTTTGTTCTTCTTCAGTGAAAAATATACATGTTCCAAAATACCATGACTTCTTAATAAATAGTCTCGTTGAGCTAATCGTTTTAATCGTTCTTTTTCTTCCGATTCAATAATTTGCTGAGGCAAATAGGAACAATTTCTATTACTTGGCATGTTAAGCGAAGGAGTCATTCTTTTAGTTTTGTAGATTGATCTACCTGATGTCTGATTTATTGGATCAGTTTTAGTAGAAGTAACTCGCTTCGAAGCTTCTAGCTTTTGCCTTAAAACCATTTCACCCCTAAGTGCGCTTTGTGCTGCCTCCCTTGCACGACTAGAAACGGTGTCACTGTATAAAGTATTTTGGCCTTGGTCGAAGAATTTTCCATATAGATGATCACTGGCGCTAGTAGGATACACCAATCTAAATCCTCCCTTATTGGAATTCTCAGATTTAAAATACTCTGTCAAATTCTTAGAGCTATCGATAACTTGAAAGTCTTTGTCTTTATTTCCGTGAAGCAAACGTTCTCTTATTCTTTTTCTATCTTCGCGCATAATTCGTCTTTTATCGCACTTCTCAAGATTCATCATTGAAAACATATCAGAAATCAATGCTTCTTTGACTTCTGTATCCAATGGTGTATCAGTATGAAAGCTTGGAGAGTGATTCACTTCAAGAACTAGAGGGCACATTTTTTTATCGAACATTATGTCAACTCCTAAGAGTTCACAGCATGCTGGTATAACGTCATGACTTGGAAAGCATGCGGCATAGCTATGCTTTAATACTGGATATGCACTAATGATTGTTTTGATTATTACATCATCAATTTTATGCCAAATAGCGTTTACGTCATATTTGAGTGCTTTCCAATAACTTTGAAGCCAGGTAAGTTTCCTTTTGCTACCGTTTCCGTGAATATCTTGATTATAGGTTCTACTATGTTTATTTACAGCATAATTAGTTAAGTGCATAAAAACATTAGTAATATTTACTCCGTTTGGTTCCTTATATTGGCTAGTAGCAAATCTTACAAGGCCTTCATCATAGATGTAAATTCTTAATGGTTCACAGCTTGTTATTAAAGTGTAAACTCTCAAATCAAATTTATAACCGTCGATAAGCATTGGTTTGGCAATATACACCTGACATATCCCTCTGTCGTAAGGTCTAATATCTTTAAGTGATTTTGTAATGATAATGCCTCTTCCTTGGCTTCCAGCGTCGGGCTTAAGAATAAATGTCTTGTTTCTGCGAATTTTGGAATAATTTATGGCATCTCCCAAGTCAGCAGGGAAGCACCAAGTTTTTGGAAAGAAATTATAATCTCTAGGAAACATTCTCTGCATTCTGGTTAGATTTCTGGCGAGCAAATCTTTCCTACATATTTCCAACATGCCTGGAAAATGATTAATTTTCTGGAAGCGTTTCATTTCCTTGCACCTTTCTACTGTTATGGATAAATCTGTCCAATATAAATTCCAACTTTCTCCATCGCAAACCTCTTTGAAACCAAATTTTTGAGCGGTTTTCTTAATAACTTCGTATCTTGAATGGCTCAGACAAACACTGATAGCTTTTTTCTTCTTTTTAGTGACTGGCGACAGCGCCCTTTTTTCTTCGGTCGAGAGTTTGCTTATAAATTTCTTAGGTTCGTTCTGCCTTTGTAGGTTTTCTGTATCCGAGGACCAGGCCGAACTGTCGGAATGTTCATTGATTGGGAAACTTGTCACAGAATCAGAGGCCATAGGTTGACTTTTTTTAGATTTTGTTCATTTTTGAATTTGAGCCGAGGTGACAATCGCGACTTATAGGCCTTTTTTGACAGGAGTGCGTTTAATTTTATGACAGGTAAATTATTATTCATTTTCATCAAGCCCAGAGCACATGAAGCGTTTTCTCATCCAGCTGTTTTTTTGAAGATTATGGATTGGCCAATTTTAAATGTCATTTATCGGAGTGCTTTCTTGAAGAAGTCAGTCAAGTTTAACCCACGGATCTGATAAATAAAAAAATAAACTTAAAAATCCGCACCGCCATCTTGGGCGTACCAGGGTAGGCAAAAATAATATTTCACTGAAAAAAAATTGATATAAGAAATGGTAAGTCAGGAACAAAGGTTGTTGTCTGGTAATGGAATGGGTAATGGTAAGCAGATGACGACATTAGGAAGACATTATGGAGATTTGCTTTATGTTTGGGCACCCCAGAGTGTGTAACAGATCCCCCCCTACCCCGCCAAATCACCAGTTGTGACGTAGGCAGCATGTCATTTCTCGCCTTGATGTGGGCTGTTTAAACAGCTGACGACTTAGTTATGACGTCGGAAATAGGAAATTTTCATATTTCTCAATTTATTTTTTTTTAGATACTTATACAATGCTTCTAGTGATCATATATTTTTTGGACCGTAAACTATCCCCTTTAATCGCGAACTGGACATGTGGACATGTGATTTTTCAGTGGGTATGACGTAGATTCCCTCAAATATAACCAATATTTCCATCGAGTTCGATGATGTTACACAATCTTTTTAGAATACCTACCTAGACTTTGAAATTTATTTTATTTGTGGCTCTACTTAGGTAGAGTCTGTTTTTTTTTCAAGATAATTCCCCAAGTGAAAAATTTAGTAACTATGTTGGCAACACAAGTCTTTTCTACATAAAAAATTTGAAAGCATTGACAATTTCACATTTTATTGTCAACATAATGTCATTTTGACTTTTATCTTCAAAAAAAAAAACAGTCTTTATTTGGTCTAACATCTAACTTCAACGACGTTCCGATGACTAGGGGACGAAAACGACCCGGACACCCGGATACTGCACTTTTGACTTTTGTAGCTCTCTGTGATTTTCGTTTCTGATGAATTCTGATTCCATTGCTAGATGCTAGATACGTACAGCTTTGTTTTGGTTTGAAAAAAAAGACGGTTCTAGAACGGTTGACAACAATCGTACAGTTATAGTCTAGGAGGCAGTGACGATTTTTGGTACTTATTTTCCCAGTCAGACAATGGATAGAATTGTAGGGTTAGTAATTCTTAGCAAAATTCATATATTTTTAGGAGGGGTTTTCCGATGGGTTGAGGCGCAAAATGCGTTAAAGCAGTTACGAATGCACGGTCCTTTTTTTTTCAGTGATAAAAATAGGTCTACTAATGAGATGTATACTGAAGTTACGTAAAAAAATAGTCCGGTTAATCTGTGACTATGGATAATATGTCTGGCAAGTGAAAGATTGAAGATCCGAAAATTTTCAGCCAGACTCACTTTCCATTATCTGAGATAAGTCAAATTGCTATTTTCATATAGTTTATGTTCTATTGTAGTGAATGTGAAATATTTATGTCTGGGAAAATAAGTGTACTTGTATCATCAGCTGTTGCAGCGACAAGTTGGAGTGACAGGCCTATCTGTCAGCTCTCAGTCTGTGGGTATGCGTTCAGAAAAATGGTCGCGAAGTCAGAACCTGTTTTCACCTGTTCTTAGCCGCTGGTAGTGGGTTACTCAATGACGTCATTGGGTTGCTCAATTGTAACGCCACATCCACTACCCCCAGTGACTTGCGCTGGAAGTAAGGAATGATACCTTCTTGATGGGATTGCAGTCGCGACGCCAGGGTTCTATGTTAGGGGGGGCCAGACTGGGCCAGATAAATGTAGGGGGGGCACTTGTTTTTATTTTATTGCTTTTCTTATTTGGAATACAAAATGGGAAGAACTTCTCGATACTAATATGTCTGGGGGAATAGCGTCGCGGAAATAGCATCGCGGTTGCTTGTGCCCTCTCAACCTAATAGGACTGCTTAATGAGCTGAAAATGGCTGCCATTTCAGCTGCAAACCCAGGGCCGGCACTAGGTATTTTGCCGCCCTGGGCAATGAGTAAATTTGCCGCCCCATCCCATGGCCCGCTTAGGGAAAATGTGAGAGATTTTGAATTGTAGAAACAAAAATAAAAAATTACACGAAACAGTAAGGCATAGCATCTTATTAATAAAACCAGAGATGGGCATCTACGCGTAAACGTAAAGTATACAATTTTTGACAGTTGGCAGGGTTATGTTTCTTTTTTGCTTTGTTTTGTTTTTTGCTTTGTAATGTTAATTAAACTGCAGATAATGTCTAATTTGATAAAATATAAATTTAATGCAATGCAAACTATCAAAAAAATTACTCAAATTTCAAATTTTCTGTTGTCTACATTGTCTACAACATAGTTTACATAGTCTACATGGAAAAAAGTGGATGTAAACAATACATAGACAACGAGTAGACAAACCGCGTAAAGTAGATTTCATAGTCTACGGCATATCCCTGAATAAAACCATACACACTTTATTCTAAGTTAGGTAACTACAAAAAAAATCTAACCTAAGAAAACAAGAAACATAACCAACAAAGTAACACTCAGCCAATCCAAATTCTTAGCAAATTAACAGCTGCGCAAGCTTGAGGTCTATGGGTTTAGAGGGAGATATCTTGAGAGGCTAGCATCTTACCTTGCGGGAAGAATGCAGACTGTTGTGGTTAATAATAATAACATCGAGTCACTTGTGCGATACGTCGGGGCAGGGGTGCCTCAGGGATCCTCCCTTTCCCTTGTTTCTACTGTATGTAAACGATCTGCCTAAGACGGGTATATCTGGCACTCTAACCATGTTTGCCAATGACAAACAAAGTGCACGGCTTAAATGCTGATATCTTAGATACCACAACCAGGGCCGACATGGGCCGTATTGGGCAGTGGTGTGATGCAAATCGTCTTGTACTCAATCGGACAAAGACTAATAGCATGGCTATTAAGTGTAATCTGTCTGACATTCATCTTGACTCCTCAAACATCGGTAGTTATGAACAGAGTAAATTCCTGGGATTACACATCGATAAATCCCTTAAGTTCCTTATTTTATAGGTAGTGCAAATATCACAGTTACAAACAACCTTTCAAAAACGTCTTATCCGAATTAATTTCCGAGTGTGTGGACGTGGGATACATGTTTCCAATGGTGTTCCCGAAAATAAACAACAGAAACCTTTAAATAAAACGTCTCTCATGACTTTTCATTAAAACATACCTACTTTTACGAACTCATAGAAAACATTCTAACGTTCTTTGATTGTTCCTAACAGAGGTTTTAAAAATAACTTAATCAAACGTCTACAAAACATCCTTTCCTTACCTTTTTAGAAACACTCGGCAGAAACAGTAGTTTGCGAAACTTTTCTCTCAGAACTCATGCTTATGGAAAATATGTAGCCCAAGTTATGTGTTAAAATACATGGATTCAAAATATCTAAAATGGCGATATCTCAAAAAACGGCGAAACTTTGCATGAGAGTAAATATGGTCAAATAGCTTCCAAATGACTAAATTTTTTTAAAGTCGTTGTTTTCATTTTCAATTAATTTTTTTTCTTATTGTATGGTATGAATTTGCCGCCCCTGGATCGTGCCGCCCTGGGCGGCCGCCCATCTCGCCCCCCCTCTTAAGCCGGCCCTGGCAAACCTCAACACTCGGCGTGAATGGCTTAGCCGAGTTTAAAACAGTATAGGTAAAAAAAACGAATTCCTAAACGTTATAATCTTGTTGAAATCACCTTTTCTTCATTTAAAATCGACGAAAAAACAAGCACAATCTGAATCGCAAGCATCCCAACGAGGCCTGCGGGTGACGTCATCACTATAAGCTGCTAATTAGGGGATCCAAACCACGTGACTTTTGCCAACCAGCCGGTATTTTGAAATTTTTATGAGGTTAGAATACGGGTTGTACATGTCAACGATGTCAGAAAAGTGATTAGAGAACTCGCCCCGTGTACTGATAATCCCGCCAAAAAAAAAACATATGTTTTTTGTTTATTGTTTGCCAACGAGGCGCCATTTGGACAGGTCGTTGGATTGCCTAATTAGTAGTGACCTCATTGCAGGCCCTGCCGACTCGAGAATTGCTGAACGTAAGCCTCATGAGGATGAGCAATCCTGTTAGTTAATGATTCTTGGCCTGTGCCCACCGAATGCCGAATTCATCAGCAGAGGCTGCTGATGTTGCATTGCATTCTTGCCGACATGAGAGCAAGATTTCAGAAGGGGCGGCTAAATTTCAGTGGGCCCCCTCTGCCCCCCCACCCTGGCGTCACCACTATGGGATTGCTATTCACAGGTTTTTTTGATGTCGAACTGGACATGTTGGCCGGTTCTGTAGGTTGTGGACACGTCGGCGGTTCCGGCATTGGAAGAGGTTTAGGTGCTGGCTTGGGTTCAGCGGTTTCTATGTACGCAGGCTTCAAACCATTTGTTGACACAGATTTTTCGACACTATTTATTTTGATCACACAAACCTTGTCATTGATTCTTTGCACTACTTCATGTGGGCCTGTGAAAGGTGGTTGCATGAGCTTCTTAATCGAATCTACCCTCTCGAAAACATGGGAGCAGGTGGCTAGATCCTTATGCACAAAGGGCTTGGTTAGTGAATGGTTAGAAGTCGGTACGGGTCTAATGTCCCTAATTAACTAGCGGAGCTTGCCAAGGAACGTTGTAGGGTCAACTGGAGCACTTTCAAAGACAAAAAATTCGCCTGGAATGCGAAGGGTTCTACCATAAAGCATCTCTGCTGGCGAAGCCTGGAGGTCCTCTTTAAAACATGTGCGTTGGCCGAGTAGCACAGACGGTAGTCGGTCTGGCCATGGAGTTTGGTGGTCACACATAAGGGCCGACTTCAATTAGGCCATTTGCCCGTGGGTGGTAGGGCGTCGTCCTTATTCTTTTGGCTCCAATGAGGCGTGCAAGGGAAGTGAAAAGCGACGACTCAAATCGGGTGCCTTGATCTGTTGTCAGATTGAGTGGTGTACCATAGTGACTCCAGTGGCTATAAAATGCTGTGCGGCAACTGTGTTTGCTTGCATGTTCTTCAGGGGAACGACTACAGACCACCTGGAAAAACGATCAATAATATACAGGGTGTTTAGTGCATCGTTTGCCAAATTTAACTGCCCAAAAGAAGGGACCATTTGCTAATTCTTCAGCCATAATAACTCATTTTTGACAATAGCGAGACGTAAGGTGACGTTAGCCCACTGACAATTGCATGGTTCCCCGTGGCAACGGCAATGCTGCCAAAAACTCCACCAATCCGGTTCATCCAGGCGATATCCTTGCCAAATTGTCAAAAGCTGATGAATTCTGTAGGAAATGTTTATTTTTTACAATAGACAAGTTTGAAGAAATCAGTTAATAAAATAAGCATAGATCTAACAACCACGTTGAAATATTTGGCGTTTTATTGTACACGTTGATTAAAAAATGGATTTTAAAATGAACTATACTTCATGCCCAGTATTTTCGCTTTTTTATAATTAATCGTGACAACATCGCACATTTACGTCCGAATTCCTTCCGTAGACTCAGAACCGCTGGGCAAACAATATGTTGGCAAAATTTGCCGACGGATCCAGTGACCTTAGGCGAATCCTTGTCTGAGCGTTGCTGAGCCGCGTAGATTCGCGGGCGATGGTCAGTTCGTACCTTGAATGATCGGCCTTCCAGAATGCGTGCAGAAAACTTCACTGCTGCGAAAACAGCAAGCAGCTCCCGATCGTAGGTGCTAGCCTCTGTGTCAGTTTTCTGGAAAAGAAACCAATTGGGGTGCAGGTACAATTTTCAAAGCTGTTCCAGGGCTGCACCGATGGCTGTGCTTGAAGCATCGGTGGTTAGCAGTAGCTGGCCTGAAGGCGACAAGAATGCCGGCCTAGCCGCGGCCGTCAAGCTGTCTTTACAAGCCTGGAAAGCGGCTTCTGCAGGCTGGTTCCATATTATCTCGGCCTTGCTGTGTCGGAGTGGCTCCCTTTAGAAGTTGACTAAGTGGGGCCTGAGTTTCTGCAGCTTGAGGTAAGCAACGCCTGTAGAAATTCACCATTCCGAGGAAACGGCGAAGTTCTGAAACAGGTTTTGGTTTTGGGAAAGAGGTAATGGCTTCTATCCTGTTTGCCGGTGGTTCGTATCCGTCCTTGGAGATCTTATAGCCCAAGTAGACTACTTCGGGCCTGCCAAAATCACATTTGTCAATGTTGATGGACAAGCCTGCTTCGCGCAGCTTTTGGAGGTGGGTGCGTAGGTGAAGTAGGTGTTCCTCGTAGGAGCGTGAGCAATGACGTAGCTATAGATTTTTCATGGGGGGAGGGGTTTTAGATCAGTTGCGGCTCGTGGTCTGGGAAGGGTTTCAATTTTAGATCAGACGATGTATCTGGCATATAGGGACGCCACCTTTGGAAATAAGTTAAACTGGGGAAAAAAAAACGTTCATTGAAAGAAAAATGAGAAACAGAAATGCTTCAAATCTGATAATAGATGTATTACACTTTACTATATATCTATACACAAGTCCCCTCTGGCATCTCCGGATGTTGCTTGATGTTGGGTTAGTTTGGATTAGTTGTGTTAGTTGAGACGGTTGGAGAGGGAGATCCAAGGATACTACACACTACACAGGATAGCCTATCCTCATAAGGCCTGTGTAGATCAAATCTCAAGCCCCCACTGCACCACGCCAAAGTACCAGTTATGAGGTGGGAATCGGATCGCTACACGTTTCAACGTAGGGTGTTTGCACCACAGGCTATCATTCCCCTGGCTTTTGCTTTATGCATACTTGTGTCACTACATTAATTAACATTCCAAAAGAACGCTTTTCAGATCTCGTCTGCATCTTCCTCGTTGTCTATTATGTTAATCAAAATTAAATAATATTTTTCATCATAAATGTATATTCTTAACTACAACCGCTGGCGCAAACAGTTAAAGACACCGTTGATGATGTCACCAACGGTGCAACACCATATGACCTTGATTCCAAAAATCAAGGCCGATAAGCAATCTTGTAGTAGTGTATATTATTCTTAAGGGAGACCGTAGGTAACGACGACGCGTGCGTTTCGGAGAATTTTTCCGGGAGAAACAGGATTGCGCTGTTGCTAACCCGGAGAAGACACCTAGTAATCCGTGGCCCGGACACTATATGCGAAAACCCGTAGACTCCGGGTGAAACCCGGAGAGGTGACAACCCTACAGTGGCATAAATATAGTTTAAAAAAAACTAGAAAACACGCTTTTATAGTAAATTGAACTAAAAAGTGAGAAATAATTTTTAATATAAACAGAAAATATTAATGAGCAAAAAATATTAGAATTCTTGTGATTATACAACTCACTGTACATTATTCCCATATAACACGAGAGGCTTAAAAAGTGATAAGCCTTTTGGGATTATCGCGCTTGGTGGCAATATTGTTATTAGTAATGATAAAAATTATAAAATTAATACAGCATTAAAGTATAGTTCGTTGTATAACCTTTTGAATACACTCGATGTTTCAGGATTACCTAATACTTTTACCTGACACTCAACGCGTTACCAGCAACACCACTCCTTCTTCGGAGTCGTTGTGTTGCTGCGTAACGCGTTTCGTGCCAGATAAAAAGTATTATCCGGTAATTCTGAAACCTCTTGTGGTATTACCACAGAATACATATCCTCACGGATAGAAGGCAAACTGCCTAATAAAATTTTGGGGAACAATGCGCCGTCACGGCGCGGTGGATGCGATCCGAACTATTTATAATAAAGGTTTCTGTAATCAAATCAGCTTTCAAAATAGTTCTTCCAATTTCAATATTTTCAATATTAGATTTGTTCGGACTTCAGTTCAGAATTGAACTACGCTATCGCATTTCTTTATATGTATAGGTTTGATATGACAAAATGCGCAAGCGCAGTCCATTTTAGAACTGATTTTGAACTGAATTCCAAACAAACCTTTTTCCTCATTATTGAATATTGACGGATTTTTCTTCCGAATAGAGCAAAAACGGCCAAACTTCTTATGTTTTGTGTAAAATCTGATTTTTTTTTTGAATTTAGGATACATTTATCTGGATTAAAAATGCACACTAACACCAAGACGAATTCTCATTCAGAACTATTTTGACATATTTTTTTAAAACATAGGTAACAGGTAAGCTGCCAAAGTAAAATGTGACATATTTTCAGGTGGCGTTCATTTCGCACCTGTAGTTCTGTTTCACCCCAGCGTCCCCAAGCGGATGCGATCCGAAGCTTTTTTTTTAGGCCCCGCCCTCCATTAAGCTTTTTTTTCTATCCGTGAGGATATGTGTTCTGTGGGTATTACATTCGAGAATTTCATACATCTGTCAATACTGACATCCCAATAATAAACTGACATGATTGATTGTTGATTTGAACAGGGCTTTGTTTGAACCAATCAGGTTGGAATTACGCGATAATTTGCACTAGTGCAAATTATCGGATAATTGCATATACTTAGTAACTGGTGCGAAAACTGGTGTTTTGACATTTTTTGACAAAAAATTTAAATTTTTGGTTTATGAAACTCTCTCATAAAATACAACTCGTGCAATGGAAATTCATCTATAATCTACGAGAAATGTGGAACAAAGCACCCCACGCTTTTTTCACAATAATTCTAATATTTTTGTTCATTAATCCCACATAACAAAATTGCATCCTTAGAATGTAATGGGAATGTTCTTTTTTTAGGAGGAATGTGCCTAGAATGTTCGCCAAAACCATTGCGAATGTCCTGAGAATGTTCTGAGAAAAGATTGTAGAAATACTGTTTGCAATACCCAAGAACTTCCTGGGAAATCCATTAGGATATTCCTAGAATATACCTATGAGATTCTCAGTACATTCTGAGAAGAATATTCCTGTTTGATTCTAAAAATATGCTTGAAATGTATATTCTCACATTCAAAGAATGTTTCTATGACATTATAGTTATGTTCTCAAAAGAATATTATACCAATATGCTTGAAATATTCACAAAATAATGCTCCTTTTAGTCCTTTTATATTAAAGGCAGTAAAAGAGAAGAGTTGTTGGAAAACTTCTCGGGAAAACACAAGTGTTTAACCAAAGCTCCGGTTTCGAGCTTGTTATGCTCTCGTCAAGGTAAGTACGCCAACTGAGAGAAACAGGTTCCAAGGTGATTCAAACGCTAGGCAAGATGTAGATCTTTAATAACGCGTGGCTCCCTCTCTTGGAAGTCCTACAAAGCAAAAGAAAAAGAATATACCTATAATATTCCTAGTAGGTTCTAGATAGAGCATTATTGTTTGATTGTTCAATTAAGATTTTTGAGTAGGTAGGTACTTCAGATAATTAGGTGAATAATATGAAAATATGCTCATCATGGTAACCTACCTACATAAACTTCTCAGCACAACTTGGTAGGTATATTCTTAATACTTGATAGAGATATTAGCCGAAAGAACATTTTTTAGGGTACCTACATTATAATAATGTTCGTATGACAATATTCAAATAATGTTAAGTATATAAAGTAGGTTCTTAGCACAATCTTTCAGGTAGGTGCATAGAAGCAACATTCCTCGTACATAAATAGAATGTTCAAAAATGAATATTTCAATCGAAACAATCTTAGAATATTCATTAAACATTCCTAAAAAAACATTCCAAAAAGCACTTTGAGGGAATATTCTGAGAATATGAATGTTCTTTCACTGTTATGTGGGATATTTTCTGTTTATATTAAAAATTATCTTTCACTTTTTAGTTCAATTTATTATAAAGCGTGTTTTTTAGTTTTTTTAAACTATATTCATTTTCAAACCAAGACAAAGCTACATGTATATACGAATCTAGCAACGGAATCAGACTTTATTTTCACATTGGAGTTTTATCGAACCTACACCATTTGTAATTAAACTATCAAGCCTTCGATAGCTCAGTTGGTAGAGCGGTGGACTGTAGTGGAATACAATTTGTAGACATCCATAGGTCGCTGGTTCAAATCCGGCTCGAAGGAATTTACTTTTTTTCGCTGAAATTTTTGTTTTTATTTATCTCAGATTTATTTTGTGTTAGTAAAATCTATAAGAATTTCCAGTGTAATTTTACCCTGGGTTATCCCCATGGTTGTTTAGAACCGGCTAATCCAATTGTAGATAACCATTAAGGTAATTTGAAGAAGAAAAGATTATACATAAACCGTGAAATAATAGGGAACTTTCACTTTGCAAAAAAAAGGAAATTCCCGGGGTATGCTGGCTTGAAGCGTCATTGAGTTTTTGTCATCACATGAAAATAAACCTAATTATCTTAAACAGAAGTTAAGTTCACGATCTGGGCTATCGCGGTTCGCAGTGAACGTAGTAAACATGAACAATGTAAAATGTTATTGTGTGGTTATCGTGTTATTTGGAATTAGCAAGTTCGCATTTTAATTAAAAAATCAAGACGTCATCATTATTTTTTAGATGTATCAAGCTTTGAAGTTTCATCACTAGATATAGAATGCGTACCATTAAAAAATTGCTCATTACTGATGAATAATATTTTGGCTCAAGGGCGCATTTCATCGGAAAGTATTTTGAAATTTTTAAATTCGATTATATGTGGTGTAGATGATAAAAATCCAAAGAAAGTGAAAGTATGGTGTAATCATTTTAAAAACTGTAAAACGTCAGAATCTAGAAAGGGTGAGAACAATTACCTTATAGCCAATAAACTGATTAATAAAATGAAAGAGATTCTTAGCTCTAACCGAACCCAATAGATTTGTTTCGGTACATACAATATTTACTTTTTCAGGAACGTAGGTATTCTATATTTCTATTTCTAATTGTGCAGGTTTCAACCATCTTCTCCAAATTAAAAAAAAACCGAGCAACAAAAGCAACAACTATTCAATGATTACCGTTGCCCTTTTCCGAATGAATTGAATAGTGGTTTAATTTTTTGTAGGCATATGGTCTAATATACAAGATGCCGGAAAAGTTCGTGAGAAAAGATCTCATCATCCTCGGTCAATGTCCCGTCATAGGCATTTTCACGATAATCATTTTGGATTTTTCAATGAGCGGCAATTTAACGAAAACGAAACGGAAAATGATAATGATTATCAATCACCCTTTAAAGGAGGCAATGACAAGCATAATCATAGACCTGTTGGACATTGGTGGAAACATCAATTACTTGATGCAGAAAAAAAGGATGAAGATATATGTTTTACTCCAGGCAATTTAAAAGGTAAAGTGTCGTATTAATCGAGTACACTTTAAAGAAAAATACTATATGTTATAAGGGCCACTTTTTTCAACATAGGTACGATTACTTTTTGAACAAGCTCTAATGAATAACAAAAGAGCAAGCATATTTTTTGAATAATCGGAGTTTAAATAAAAAACTTTTCATTGTGTATAGCCGTCTTACACAAATTGTTGTTAATATGATTTATGAATTTATTTTAAGGATTTTGCAAAGAAATTCATCAGTGTTCGAATATCGTAAATATTTTAAAATCTCCAAATCGTTTGGATAATAAAGCTGTAGAATATTTGAAAAAATTCAAATGTCAAGGCAGTACTCAAAGTATTATAAAGGTTTGTTGTCCTGAGGAACAAATTATCATGCCAGACGTTAATCCACCAGTAATTGAAACCAGAGTCAAGACAACTGTGGATAACAACTTAGGTAATTTTTTCAAAGATCATATAATTATTTGAGTTAACTTGATGGCAGCTTATTTCCATAATTAGAATGTGGTCGTGCCATGATAACAGACAGAATCGTAAGCGGAACTACAGCCAGCCTTTCTGAATTTCCGTGGACAGCTTTATTGCAATACAATACGTCGAAAGGCTTTATTAATGGTTGCGGAGGTAGTGTAATAAATAAAAGATATGTAATTACAGCTGCGCATTGTGTGAATGAAGATATTTTAGGAAAAAATGGTTTACAATCCCTGTAAGTACTTTCTTACTAAATGGCATTTAATAGTTATATATACATATAATACGTGTACGGTATTACAGTAACAAGTAGGGAATATTGCCATGACAAGGTGCCCCTGAGAAATTCACATGAACAATTAAACATTTCAGAAATAGACTAGTACTAGGTGAATACGATACAAGAAACGAAACTGACTGCATTTATACAAAATTTGGCAGTGACTGTGCTGATCCACCAGAATACTTCAATTTTGAACGTATTATTGTACACGAATCGTTTAGTTCAAATGGAACTGCTAATGATATTGCCCTAATCAGAGTTGACAGGGATATTCAATTTACTAGTAAATTACAAAACTTATAATTTACAATTAATTAGTTACTTAGGTACATATTTATTTCAGACTATATAAAACCAATTTGTTTGCCAGCTGGAAGTTCTTTTAGGTTGAAAGGTAATGAGAACTTCTCCATTACAGGTTGGGGTAGAACTGAATCTGGTAAGAACTATTTCAGCGTTCTCGAAAAACTATTGTTTTTAATGAATATTTCAGGAAATGTAAGTCCTGTGAAAAAAAAGGCCAGGCTGCCATTTGTTGATAAAGCTAGATGTAGTCAATTAGGTCCACTTGGTGCTGGACAAATGTGTTTGGGAAGTGATAAAAGAGTTGATAGTTGTAAAGGTGAGGAGTTATTTTTTTTTCTTTATCTATATCTAAATCTTATTATTTTAACTTTCACATAGCAGTAAAATTTTAAAAAGATTTAAGTACCTACCTTTTTCAATAAAAAACCTTTATATTCAAAAGAAGTTCATTGACAAACTAACTGCGAGTCGCAAAAAAGTCTGTCTCGCTTTTTGTTTATTAAATAGCCTTTTTGAAAGGAATGAGTCAAAAGAGATATAAAGCAGATGATAAAATGAAAAGACCAGAATTTATTGAACAAGCTTTTTTGTTAAAAGACTATTTAATTATATTTTATTTTTTTTGATGTGGTTTGTACAAACGATCAAACAAATAAGTACTTTGAAAACACATCATTGAAACTATTGAAATTTATGTTTTTTAGGGGATTCTGGAGGTCCTGTTATGAACGCAGCTGTCTCAGAAGGTGAAGTAGTAACCACTCTTGTTGGTATCATATCTTATGGTTTTGGAACTTGCGGTACTACTACAAGTGTTTGTACTTACGTACCATTTTATTTGGACTGGATTTCTCATAATTTGGAAGAATAAGATAATATAATTTCTTGTATTAACGTATCGAGTGTATCGAGTATTGAGTTTTTTTACATAATTGAAATAAAATTTTGACACTGGTATTTGCTCTTTCTTTTAATTTGAAGTTGATGTTAAGATATGGAAAATCTCGACAGGAAGCGACAAATTGGTTGGCATGCAACTAGATTAAAACCATGATAAGTCTCGTTATAAATGTCAGTAAGCAAATGTCATACGGTCATACCAATTATTACAACCATATAAAATCTGTTTTTTTTTTAAAGATAAAAGTCAAAATGACATTATGTTGGCAATACAATATAAAATTGTCAATCTTTCAAATTTTTTATGTAGAAAAGGCTTGTGCTGCCAACAACTAAATTTTTGACTTGGGGAATTATCTTTAAAAAAAAAACAAACTTTAGTTACCAAAATACGATAGAAAATCTAAATTAGACTCAAGAAGTCAAACATTGAATATGGTTGGCCATTGAACAAGAAGGCCCCATACTAAGTGCCCAAACCCACACCCTAATAAGTATAGTATTTGTAATACCCATTTAGAATAACCCTATCCTTATTTATCAATCACGAATCAGATGAAACAAAAAATTACCAACAAACCAGGTACTTCTAAATAGGTATTAAAAATATATGCTTCTCACTTATTATTGGCGTAGCATTATCCATGGAAAGGACCCCGCAATATTTAAATGGAAATTGGTTACCCGTGATATTTGGATGAAATTTAAATATGTTATTGGGGATGCCGTAAGCAACATTTTTTACCATGGGCACAACCGTGTATGTATGACAGGTGAGGCGTGGTTAGCTGTCAAATATTGGAATCTGATATCCAAAAGCAGAGTAACTATGGCAGATTTTGATGAACAAAAAATCTATTTCCACTAAATCGACCAAGTTAAGTCGAAAAATGTCAACCGTTTTAACACCTGTCAAAACCCTGCCAAACGGCAGCACTCATCTTCTCCAGTTTTCAATATTTTATGTTACCATTTGATATTTTTAACTTATATGTAAATTCTGAATTCAAAAATTGAAAAAAAAAAATGACAGCTGTCAAAATGTGACGTGCATGAACTTTGTTCAATGTTTTACCACCAATAAACAGATGACAGGTTTTGACAGTTCTGTCATTTTTTTTTCAATTGTTGAATTTAGAATTTACATATAAGTTAAAAATGTCAAATGACAACATAAAATATTGAAAACTGGAGAAGATGAGTGCTGCCGTTTGGCAGGGTTTTGACAGGTGTTAAAATGGTTGACATTTTTCGACTTAACTTGGTCGACTTGGTAGAAATAGATTTTTTGTTCATCAAAATCTGCCATAGTTACTCTGCTTTTGGATATAAGATTCCAATATTTGACAGCTAACCACGCCTCACCTGTCATATATACACGGTTGTGCCCATGGTAAAAAATGTTACTTACGGCATCCCCAATAACATATTTAAATTTCATCCAAATATCACGGGTAACCAATTTCCATTTAAATATTGCGGGGTCCTTTGCCAGGTTGACCCTCGTATAATAATGACATTTGATGACAAAATATTTTTCAAATTTCAGGGTTATGAAACAGAAAGCCGAGTTGCCATCAGAATGTGTAAAATATCTGAGTAAATTCAAATAGTAGAATTATTCAATTTATTAATTAAACGTAACCATAACAGTAAGCTCAATAGCATAATAGTTATTTATGTGTCAAGGGAATTATGGCCCGAGGGATACCAATTGCCCGTGGGTATTAACACCTGATAATTCCCGTGGTACATAGATAATTTTATATCCTACTGAATTTATTCTATTTTGTCCATTTTTATAAAGAAACTAGCTGACCCGGCAAACTTCGTACCGCCTCTGAATTATAAAATACCTATTAAATGTTGTGTTAAAGTATCTATTAGCTGAATTAAATTCAGTTTTTTTCGATGGTGAATTTGGCTTTGGTTGAAGAAAATTAATGTTTACTCTCTGGATCAGAAGTCACCTAAAATTAAAATTTTACATCATCCTTTTTTAGGCAGCTTGTGGGCATTATTCTTGTATAGTGTACCACCAAATAAATAAACTCAGGCACAGGAATGTTCAAAGAATGTAAAGAAAACAAAAAAAATCTCTAGCGCAGCCCTGCTTCACTCTATCTGCACTGCATGCACTGCACTACTCCATCTGTTCTACTCTATCTGATTTACACTTTCTGCACCACTCTATCTGATCGGAATAGTGGAATAGTTCTTTTCGAAATAGCTCCAGATCTTGAGCAGCATTGTTCTACTGTATCTGCAATGCCGAGCTTCGTTCCAGGTATCAGAGATGGCGCGGTATACAAAATACAAAATACAAAATAAACTTGGTATCGGTTATAAGAGATGGCGCCGTATGCGGGCTTAGTAAATTTTTTTCATAAATAAAATAAGTAATGAAATGACCACATTAATGACATAACAACATGCTGGTACTGTCAACGCTGAAAAAAGTTTCAATTTGACAGCAAAATCCCCATTAACAAAATGATCCTCCATTAATTGAATAATTCATTTATTACAAAAAATGTGATAAATGAAGAACCGCTCGACCGATTTTGTGCAAACTTCACATAAACCATCTAATAAATAGTCCGAACAAAGCCTAAACATTTGGTTTGGCTAGGCGAGCCCGTTCTTGAGTTATAAAATTACAACGAAAAGTGGCATTACTTTTTATATATATAGATTTATTTATTTATTTACGGGAAAACCCCATTAACTGTTAAAATACAATTTAAGAAAAAATATAAAGAATAAAGCATAAAGCATAAGTTAGGTACTATATTATAACTATAACTACAAAAATAATAAATATTATTTAACTATAAAAATTAATACTACACAATAATATAAAACAAATCAAGTACAGCCAAAAATCATCTTTTAAGTAAGTAGGTATTAGTATTAGTAAAAGTATGTAGGTATTAAGATTAACCATTGACTACCTATATGAGCATTCAGGTGCGTTTCTATGTGCCTTGCTGGTACAAACAAGTCATAGACAAGTAGTAGCACAGTTCAGAACTATTTTGACTAAGATTTTGACATATTTTTTTTAAACATAGGTAGGTAAACTGTCAAAGTAAACTGTGACATATTTTCTGGTGGCGTTCATTCCGCACCTTTAGTTCTGTTTCACTCCAGCGTCCCCAAGCGGATGCGATCCGAAGCTTTTTTCTTAGGCCCCGCCCTCCATTAAGCTTTTTTTTCTATCCGTGAGGATATGTGTTCTGTGAGTAGTAGGTACTAGCTTTGTCTATGGTACAAGTTCTATTGTTTGTTACTATGGCAGAGGCACTGTAACCACAGCATGTACAAAAACAATCAGCAGGCTAACTTGAGTGACAGCCCGTGTAATAAAGAAATTCATCGTCAAAATGTCACTAGCGGCCATTTTGGGATACGAAACAGGGCCTGATTAACGATAATTTAGGTTTTTTCTTTCCTGTGACAGAGTCGTATTGGCTTTAAATAAACTAATTTATTATATACAAGAATGATAACAGATAACACCATAAATGACAACACGAATATATCAAAATCGTTTTGAAAATCATAGCTAAAATTCCGCTCTACACCGCACGCCTATGACCTCCGTCAGAAATAAACAAATAAAATAAAATTTCGGCGCTCCTGCCGTTTAATGACAGCGTTTTGACAAAATGGTATCCCCTAATGGCGGCGTGCGCAGAAAAGATGCGCGTGAGAGTTAGCCTGGGGCGCGTTCACAGTGGTTTACCCTGGGTAAAACTTAACCAGGTTAAATATTTCACTGGTTGAAAAGGATGCGCTTGGGATGACAAATCCGTTGAACGACTAACGCCTGCGCCATAACGAGGTAGGATTTGATTTTGTTTTCCTTTTGTTTATATACGTTGTGTTTCGAATGTTTCGAGATGGATCCGGGAATAATATTTATTAAAAGTACTATTGAAACTTCTTCGGATTCGTTTGATACAGAGGAAGAAGTGAGCTATGCTGTAGCACAAGCTGCATGTGTTAGCGCTAGCAGTTTAAGTTCAAGCCTGAAAAAAAGGCATATTGAAGGATAATTTTATGACAACAATACGCAATTATAGCGATAAGGAGTTTCAGGAAAATTTTGGAGTTTCCAGAGAAGATTTCAACTGGCTTCCTGGAAAACTTGAAAACCAGTTGAAGCCAGCAATGTATGGCCCAGAAAGATTACCAACAGTAATGTTTATCAAATTTCAAATATTCTTGTAAAACGCCTGCGCGACAAATTTTACCCATGTCTCAGAGTGGGTTAAAAAGTTGTACAACCGCGTAAACTTATCATGGCTCTGTGAACGGAGCAAATATTTTAACTGGGTGAATTAGGTAACGCGTTTTTGGTGAACAAAAAGCTTATTATAATGGACGAGATAATGAAAAAAACCGAGGAAGCAAGAAAAACGTTGGTCCCAGCCAAGAGTGAGACTCTATAATAAAGAATATAGAAAATATATTCACTGGCTGGAACAAAAAGGTATCCCAGCAAAGAATAGTGACGAAACTGTTCTCTTGGCATATTTTCAAGAAATGGTACGGTAACTATTGTTCATTATGTTTTGTTTAGTAAGTAATTGTGCCTTATTTATTGCAGTCAGAAAGTTTTAGTCCAAATTCCTTGTGGACTAAATGGTCAATGTTAAAATCCATGCTATCTATACACGAAAAACAAGATTTTAAAAAATTCAACGAATTGGAGGCCTTTTTGAAACGAAAGAGCAAAGGTTATAGACCGAAAAAGTCTGCGGACTGCGGTATTGTCCCCTCAGCATATCGCCAAGTTCCTCAAAGAAGCCCCCGACGATATGCATTTATTAAATAAGGTAAATAACCTACTTTCTATATTTCTTTGTGTATGTATTCATTACCTGTTTTGCAGATAGTTTTAATAATGGGATATTTTGGAGGGTGCAGAACTCAGGAACTTCTTAATATGAAGATAAGTGATATAGAGGACCGGGACAAGGTTATGGCAATTCGTTGCTCTGCCTTTATTGAAATTTTACATTTCATTACGACCTAAGGGTATCGGCAGA